ATTTTTTTTGTAATTTCACAAAAGCTTCAGTGGAGATTTTTCAAAATTTTGCCTTGTAGGAATTTGTTTTCAAAATCTTCCATCCCCCCTCAAAAGTCTAATGGGTCACCCCTAAGTAGACGTTTCGCACTGCTAGTCATCTTGAATCACAGGAATATTTGAATGTCGACCAAGACATGGGACCGCTTCAACGATCAAAATACGATCCCCTTAAAAACGTACTATTATCACTCAATAACCTAATATCGGGCCGATGCAGGAGTTCAAAAAATCGTAGTCTTGGACTGTACTGCAACAAGATGTCCTAGTTAGACATTCAAATCTCAAATGATTCCTGCCTAAAATTATAGAATTGTTTTGCTTACCGTCTGGTTTCTGACGAACTTGACGAGCTGAAATCCCTTTCTGCACGTCAAACTGACCCAGTTTTACTGCCTTAAATGTGGTAAAAACAATGACAAAATATAGAACTGAACACATATCTAGACACGTCCTTGAGGATTAAACCGACACGGTAGAACTGGACAGAGGTTATTTTTGTCACTAAACCAACTTACACCATCGAAAGTAAAACGTTTGTATTTGCATAAAACGCTGAAGGATGCTTAACAAAGGAACGTGAAGTCGTTGGATTAAATGTAACAATAAGCAATACATCCCTTTCCTATGACTTTTTGGGACTTTTTTCGCGGGTTATTAACTAGTTGTAATGTCTTAATTTTCGGGGTAATATCTGGACAGAACTTCCTAATTACATGCACCCGAATGCAGACAAACAAACCCAACCATCGAATGCAAAAATAGAATTTGGCATTTATTTGCATAAAAAACGCTGAAGGCACACTGAATCATATGCTTCACAAGAGAGGAAGAGATAAACGGAACAAGTCAAAACAGTATGAAAGGCTAATAGAAATAGAAATAGTAGAAAGTTATAGTGTCTGGAAAGGAGTTTATTCCACGTGAAAGATCCTTGGAAGGAAATTCGGAAAAAAATTGATGTCATGCATTCCCTAGTGTCACGCGGCACTTATATAATGTAAGTCAGATAATGACACAAAATGGTAAAGTCACTCAGTCAAGACGAGTGTAGAAATGTGTTTCGATTGGGCTATCGCAAAACAGGGCGCCTCACACCATTTCCCCTAGGATTCCTAAGGAACAACATTGACGGTCTGGCCCCAGGAAATCGCCGCCTAGTATATATAGGTTGCGAACGGTTGATCGCCACCTGACGCTTCAAGTTTTTGCATGCTGTGTATATTATTTTCACTTATATATAGTATAGGCAGTCCGTCGTACCCTAGACGTCAAAAACCACATTAAAAAACAAGGAAAAATGAGGATGTGCTATCAAAGGGGTTTGCAAGTGAAGTGGACTTTTTGCTAGGAAAATATGTTTTGACGCTAGAAATTGAGCTGGAAATGTGTGTTTCCTGTAGTCCTCCAAACGCAAATTTTGGCATTTACTTGTAAGCAGAGTACGGTTTTGCTCATTTTTTTTACCTCGTTGGGAAATTCTTTGAACTTTATGATCGACATTTCTTACTAGTCAGTTCGTACTATCCATTTCAGGGCTCTAGTTTACTATTTCCGAATCGGTAACTTATCAATTTTAGACGCATCGTTCGAATTCAAACGATATTTTACTGATAGGGCCGTCAGCAGAGGGTTAAATTCAGTCTATTTCTGTAATGGAAAGCTTCTCAAATTAAGATAAAATGAGCATAGGCTACTAAGATTTTGTAGCATTACTTTGACAGATTATTTGACCTTCCACTGTTTATGAATAGCGTACGCTATTAATTCGACTATCCAAAATTTAGTATCGAGAAACGGTATCTGAGGACGTACCGGAAAGAATTGTTTATTTTGCCACATTTGTCAGTAATGTCCTAGGAACACCAAACTCTACTGAATCTACTAAAGGCTACTTAGAAAACACGGAAACACAATCTAATAACATAGCAGGACCTCCAACAATTTGTACATTTTGATGTATCAGACGATTTTCTGAGAATAGTAGATATCCCCAGTAACTAGGACCCACCAAAGACTTCCCTTGCAAGCTCTTCAAACCCTTCCCGTGCTTAAGTTCGTATGGTGTATACAAAGATCCCCGGAAGAATTAATTTTTATACATTTGATTGGCTAAAACCCTAATTAATTATTCACTAAGTAGACATACAATATAAACGTTTACATCATGGTATTGATAAAAGTATCAAGATGCCGGATGGATCTTATGAGTAATGCGGACTCCGCATTAACTCAACATTCAACATAAGACCCATCCGCCATCTTGATACTCCGGGAGGACGAGTATTGACTTGATAAAGCTTTAGAAGAATTTAATAAGATGTCTAAAGTGACCTTAGTATTTAATGCTTGCTGTTCGTAGAACAACACAACGTCGACAACAAGTAAGAGGACCTCAATTTGTCAATCTTACCAGCCACAACAAGACGTCACCGTCGTGAAAAGGACCATTTTGGATCCTCTCATGTCGTTGTAGCACACTAACTAGCTTCGTCTAGATATAAGGATTGTATTTATATACAAGAAAAAGGTTAAAAGATGCACATATAGTTTGATTCATAATCACATGAAATTAATAACAGCTGTATGGAGTGTTCCTGCATTAGTTGTTCGACCAATTTAAGAAGTTACGCGTGATGACTGTGTTGTCTGTATTTTTAGAAATTAATATTATTTAATAAAAACTGACAAAAGGTCTTTATAAATAATACTATCTAGTGATTGAATAATACTATCTAGTGATTAAATAATACTATCTAGTGATTATTCGCCGTATTTAGTTACTGTTCTGAAAATGCTCCTCGTCATCTTTAGACACATACCARGAAAGTTTCACTGAATTTCTTCAWGTACKTCCACGGGATTTTGCAGAAGCCGATTGTCCCTTAATCGAAAGCGTTGGTSAAACCATGCGTACAACCTTCTAAAACACCTAGTAGGATTKAGACCAAATACGTGATACAAGATGCAAGATACTAAGACTATCAAAACACATCCATTGATGACCATCACAAGCCAGACWACAGGAGYTCCGAACAAACTGTCGAGGGCTGCCAGCCTCAGAGCAATAAAAGATACTGACAATACAAACAGCACAAGGAACTCAAAAACATTCTCAAAATTGCTGATATTTATATTGATATTATTGTTATCATTGTTATGGTCATTGTCATGGTCACTGTCAACGTCAACGTCATGGTCATTGTCATTGTTATGGTCATAGTTATGGTCACTGTCATCGTCATAGTCATTGTCATTGTTATGGACATTGTCACTGTTATGGTCATTGTCATGGTCACTGTCAATTCCATTGTTATGGCGCATTCGACGAGCACAGCAATTGACGTTGTTTCTGGTGCTGTCGTATGGCTGGAGACGAAGCTGAATCATGGCAGAAATTATAAGAATCAAGCTAACAGCCAACGCTTGTGTCGATTTCATCGATGCAAGAACAGATAATGAAACGGCCAGCAACAGACGACGAAGAACAAGGACGAACTCAAAGTACGCCTGATATTCTTGTTTGAATGGCAAATACACTGAACCAAGCCAAGAATCCAAGTTTTCCTTTTCCTTTCCATTCATGAAATCCCTCTTCTTATAAAAGATCTTCATCAGAATAAAGAGCATGGCAGGATAACCAATGATATAGATGACAACAGAAACCCAGCCCATTGTGGTAAGTATCTGGTAAGTCGCACTGCTGCAGTCTATCCAGGGCGTTTTAGGCATGAAACGCACTCCTTTGTCATCATCACATGGACGAAGCACAGACACTGTCGCTCCAACGATTGGATAATACACAAAACTCAGACAGGACATCGTAAGCTGTCGACATTTGAAGCGAATAGTAAGATTGAAGCCATCTTCTTGAAGCCATAGTTTCTTATATGCAATGTAGCTCAAAAAGTACAACCCNGTAAGCCTCTCTCAGTTTAGAGCTGTTCAACGTAAGTCTCTATTATTAGTTTAGAGCTACCCAGCGTAAGTCTTTCTCACGGTTTAGTGATCCTACGCGTTACTCTATAGCTAATAACCTGACCAAATTTGTTCCTAAAAACTGTAAAACTAGCACATATCAAAAGTCTTTTTTCATTCGACCCTCACAGTGTCGTGTATGGAACACACTAGTGAGTCTTTTAAAGTCTTTGATACTTCAAGCTTGAGCTCGACGTTTTGCACTGTATAATTATTATCTGGACAGTCCACTCTCATGATTTCGACCCGTATAATTCAAGAACTTTTAAGACTATCTGTTTTAAAAAATGTAATTCTGCATCTTGCTGCATGTAATTTAATTTAAAAATTAAACTACACTTACCTGTAAGTGGAAGTTTGATCGTAATTCTACCGATATAACACGTGACTGAGAGATTACATGAGATATTGCGTCACACAACTGCCGGTCACTATTTAAAGGAAGGGTTGGTGTGACAACAACTTGTACACCCCCTATCTGAATGTAATTTTATCTTTTATTGATCTATTGAAAATATCTGGGAGTGGAGGGAGGGCATGTAATCTCTCAGTCATGTGCTATATCGGTAGAATTACAATCAAACTTCCACTTACAGGTAATTATAAGTGTCGTTTAATTTTTAAATTCTACCTCACTATCACGTGACTGGAGATCACATGAGATTTCAAAGCCAATGAAGTTGGCACACCAACTACAAATAACAAAGYAAMTAAGTAACTTTATTATCTGAAACAACTTTAAC